GCTGGTGCCCTAGGTGGAACACGCGATCGGCGCCCCTGCCTGCAGGGCCGTCAATGGACTGACATCATCGGTGGGGCTCCCCAGACAGCCCCGTGATGTCACCATCGGGCACCCCAGGTGGCGGCACCCTAGACTGCGGCCAAGTCTGCCAATAGCCACAGTGCCACCCCTGACAACGAGAAATACTTACCTCTCAAAATGGCGCTGATTCACTTTCTGGTGTACCTTGCATCAACTGCTCCTGTATTCCACTCCACTTCATCGTGTCCTCGATTACTTGCTACATCTAAAAAACCACAGGCCTAGCATTAGCTTCTCTCAGAGTTCATCTGGCGGCGATCTCGGCCTTTAGACAGTCTATCGAGGAAACCTCCCTTTTCGTCCACCCAACTACCAAAAGATTTGTGAAATGTCTATCGAATATAAGTCCTCCTCATTAACCTGTTCCCCCAGTATGGAACTTGGACATTGTTTTCAGTGCCCTAACCATATTGCCATTTGAACTATTAGCTACCATACCTTTGCACACCTTAACCGTGGAACTAGCTTTCCTCTTCACAATTACATCAGCACGCAGAGTCAGTGAGCTATCAGCACTAATGGCATCACCACCCTACACTATCTTTAACAAAGATGGGGTAGTCTTAAGGCCTCATCCAGCATTTATACCAAAAGTTTATTTGACCTTCCATATCAATGAACCTATTGTCCTGCCATCTTTTTACCCTAAGCCTCATTCCTCACCATGTGAAATGTCTCTCCATACACTGGACATTCATAGAACCCTCGCCTTTTATACAGATTGCACAAGATGTTTTAGGAAAACTGACTGACTAATAGTTTCTCTAGCCGACAAAACTAAGGGACAACTGTTATCATCCCAGCATATTTCTAAACTTATAACCACGTGTATAACACAGTCTTGCACCTCTAAGGGGTTACCACTCCCAACACAACCCAAAGCACATTCCACAAGAGCAATGGCAGCGTCAACAGCCTTTCTCAAAGGCATTTCTCTGAAAGACATTTGCAGAGCAGCCACGTGGTCGTCTCATGACACCTTTTTTAAACACTACGCTGTCTGACAAAAGTGGCGCTCAGATGCTGCGGTGGCATCAGCGGTGCTCTCATCAGCAGACGAACAGGGATTCCGTATCCCACCTTCCAGCTCATTAGGGTACTGCTGCTCAGTCATCTACAGTGGAGCACCCATGGGGACTCCACTCGAAGAAGAAAGCGAAGTTACTCACCTTGGTGCAGTAACTGAAATTCTTTGAGATGGTCCCCGTAGGTGCTCCACTACCCGCCCTCCTCCCCGCTTTGGAGTCTGTCTCCTTCTTTTTCACCTGTTCACAGATTCCGAGGTGGTTTCGAGGAACTGGAGGGGGCCAGACTGTGCGAGCACAGAAAAGAGTGGAAACGCCGCAGGACGCAGTCTGGCCGAGTACTGCTACTCAGAAGTCTCCGTTCTGCGGCACCGGGGCAAGCCCAGCACCTAGAGTGGCACACCCACAGGGACCATCTTGAAGAACGACAGTTACTACACCAAGGTGAGTAACTTCGCTTTCTTCCTGGGTCTACAACCCCTGGCCTTGCGTGCCCAAGGTGGGCTCCCCAGCGCAGATCAGATGCCTCCAAGTACCATTATTTTAGGTTTGTGCATTGCAAAGGGTATTCCTTTGAACATAGTTACCAGGCTAAACCGCCATTCGAGAGTGGTGACTACTTATGAAAGAAATGTGAAAGCCTTGTCCGGGTGGTGCCTGGCTGGGGTGGAAACCAACATCAGCCACATCCAGTGGGGTCTGTGAAATAGTTGTATATGTTGAACTATGGAAGTGTATGCTGCCATATGTCCCAGCAGCCTGAGGCATGTTGATTAGGTGCCTGGTAAGTTGGGCAATGAGATCCAATAGTCAGTATAGACTAGTCAGAAGTGCATCCCCAGGGATCACTGCTTAGATGCCAACCTCCATGGTGCTGAGGAGCAATGCCACACAGATGGGGATCGTTGCATGGGCCCCAGTGCTGGCTTCCCTTTGGAGACAATGACATCTTGACAGGACATCAGTGGAACTGGTAACACATAATGTCTTTAGCAGCCTAGAAGGCCTCCAGTGTAGATGGAATCTCCAGGTGCTGGGCTTCCCTACTACTATACAGGGCAGCTGGTGGGGCCTTAGGGAAGGCTGGATAGCCTAACCAATCATACAGCTCTGGAGATGTGCTGCCCTGGATGGGCCTATGCTCCTCTCCAGATTGCCCCTTGTCATAAGGGGTGTTGGGAGCACCCTCTTCCAATGTGCTTCTTCTGCTTCTTAGGCATTGATGCTGTGGTGGTTGGGTGAAAAATCAGATCTTAGCATCTCGGAGGCTGGTGAAAGGGCTGCTCCTTTTTAATTTTGGACTTGAAGCTTGTGTAGATGCAATACTAGTTGCTAACGTGGGTCTCCCCCAAACATTTTAAACAGCTCTAATGTGGATCACTGACCAGCACAGGCTTTTTGCAGTGATCGCAATGCTTGAAGCCCAGGGACTGGGGCATGCCCCATCTCTCAACTAAGTCCCTTAGGGGATTATCAGATGTAACTACAGTACTATTAAGCTAACTATTAAGATAACAATAAGAACTACTTATCTAAAAACAATTTACATGATGGGAAATAAGGGAAAACACTGAATAGAGAACACTTGCAGAAGCAAGGAAAGGTTTCAGCACATACACTTACCATGGAATGGACATGAGCATGCACTCAAAGAAGATGTTGTACTATCTACATATGCATCTTTCAACCACAGAAGGTTCTGTAGTTTTCCTGTGCAGGTGCAGTTGTTAACACTGCATACTGAAGTCCATATTAATATCTTGTTAGCATTCTCTGCTCCCCAAAATGGAGAAATTGTGTTCCACTTTATGCAGTCTCCTCCTTTCTGTCTCAAGACCAATTAGGGCTTGTCTTCTTTCCAGTGTTAACTTGGTCTTTTAACTGGGGCGTTGCCCCTTATCTGGTTCCTATTCACACAGAAAAACCCTCACTCACCTTACATCTGAGCAAGCTGGCCTAGACCGAGTACTGCTTACTTATGAGCTGGTACCTGATCACTTTGCAGTGTGGATCCAAAATAAACACTTGAGTGCTTACAGTCTTTCAGTGACTTTGCACAATTCCCTGGGTGCCCAGAAAGGACAGACAAGTTCTCCCACAATTTGCTGGGGAAGAATCAGAGTGACCCAGCTTACTGCAATGCTAAGAACCATGGAATATGCTTCCAGAAATCTTAGCACTTCAAAATATGAGCACAGCACCAGTAATGGCTGCTCTTAAGTATGACTTTGCAGCATGGCCACCCCATACTAGGGATGTTAGATATCAGGTAACTGAATAGTCATGTAACCACATGAAATTTTACCGGTTACACAATTTTTCAGTATCCCCACGAGCAGGGTCGGCAGCCAGTGCACTCCTGGCCCCACTTCCAGGGAGCCCCCTGCCACTCCGCATTGCTGCCTCTGTGTTGGAAGCAGCAGCGCGGGGTGGCAGGGGGAACCAGTTCAAAAACAGCTTCCAACACAGACCAGCTGCCTGACGCACTGCGCTGCTGCCTCTGATACAAGGTGGCAGCAGGGTGGCAGCAGCCTCTGTCTCTGAGCTCCACACAGACGGAGGCTGCCCCACTGGATGCAGAGCAGCCTCTGTCTGCTGACAGCTTGGACCCCCTGCAGACAGGTTGGTGCTGCGAAGCAGCCTCTGCCCGCAGTGGGCCCAGGTTTGCTGTGGACAGAAGCTGTTCTGCATCCTGTGGAGCAGCCTCTGTCAAAGGGGGTGCCTGAGTCCGCCGCAGAGAGAGGCTGCTTCATGGCAGCCTCTCATGTCATCCTCCTCCTCCTCTCTCCTCCCCCGCTGCTGCTTCTGATAAGAGGCAGCAGTGCAGTGGGAAGGCAGGTGGCACCACAGAACAGGTCATGTGGGGAACCAGCTTTTAAAACTGTTCTCACCAATACCAGCTCCTGCTCCCACCCCTTGCTGCCTCTGATATAAAGGAAGTGCATATAGTTGACAAGATTAACTGATAAGCCTAGGCTTATCGCTTAATTGTATAGTCAACTACATGTTGACATCCCTACCCCACACCCAAACTAGAAGAACACAGGAGGTCATGTGTGGGTGCCAGTCACTGAGGCTATGTCTAGACTACCACAGTAAGTCAACCTAAGTTGTACAACTCCAACTATGTGAATAATGTAGCTTTTATTGCAGTGTCTACACTGAACTGGGTCAATGAATTACATTCTCCTGTTGACTTACCTTAGTCATCTCTGGAATCCCAGAATCAACTGGCAAGCAATCTGCAGTCAAATTGGTGGGTCTTCACTAAACCTACTAAATTGATCCCCAGTGCATCGCCCACCACAGCAATCATCCAGCTGTAGTGTAGACATAGCCTGAATTAACTCAGAAGTGAAGACATACCCTTAAAGTTTCTTCAGTGTATGCCCCATTACAGGTTTATTTCTGGTTTTGGGCATATGAAGACAGCCTGCTTCAGAATCAAACTCAAATCCTCTCTCTCTTTTTTAAGTGAGTTTGGTGCACCATCAAAGTACCAGGGCTTGTCCACATGAGGTTAAAAAGTGTAATTTTAAAAACACTTTACACTAGAGCCAGCAATCTGTGTTTTAACATGTTCGCTGATTCTGTTGTAAGCCTAGGCATTTTACAGAGGTCACTAGAAAGCTCAACTAATTTTCCCAGTCTAGGTTCTTAAAGCATGTTAAAATATGATAGTTAATGCAGCTGCAAAAATAGTGTGTATCCTAGGGTGGACAAAGCCCAGAGACTGACAATCACTGTTCATACTACAGCCTTGAATCCTGGTACATGTAAACATACTGATAATTATTAGAATGTCTTCCATTTGCAAGATGGGAACAGCACTACCATCGTTTTCTTGGGGCAAATAATTAGATTTTTTTTCCCAAACAAGCCTTGGAGACTCACCACAACATCCTGGACACATCGTACTGTTATTTATATTTTTACCAAATCCCGGTTTGCAGTGATCTACCTTCATACCAGTAAGGGATCCAGAAATATAATGTATCTGGTGAATGTTATCTGAGTCAGTATTTTGGACTTCAAAGAATTGTTTAATCTTTGTGTATGCCTAGAAGTTTAAAAAAAAAAAGTTTATTCAGATTCAAATTGAGACATCTAGCATGGCAACACAGGAACAAAAAAAGAGAGCAAAATGCTTCTTACACCTACATTAGATACCAGCATCATGAATAATGGAGTGGGAGGAGAAGCAGACTCTGCAGAACTGCTCAGTCCTTCCCTCTTTGCATAGATGGATTGGAGGGAGCAGAATGGCACAGGGATTGGGTAGCACCATGGCTCGACCTCCACCCACAATACACTCTCCAACATATCTCCAGCTGCTCAATAGGGAACATATGCTGTACCAAGAATAAAGCATAGAATACTAGGACTGGAAGGGACCTCGAGAGGTCATAGAGTCCAGTCCCCTGCCCTCATGGCAGGACTGGAACAGTTTTATAACATGGAAAAATTTTATCCTGCCTTGGAGCAGAAAAGGAACAAGGAGGGAAGCTACTTCGGATCAGCACAACAACACATTATCTCTTATTCTGGGCTCACAGCAAAGCCATAACTGAGCCCAACATTATCACATGGCACAAACATAAAGGTTTGTAGGATCTTTTAAAAAGTATGGGAGTGTCTTACTGGCACCGCTATACCGCCCTCCAAAAAAAAAGACTTTTGGAATGAATAAAAAAAAAGTTTCTTGGGGCATGTTCTGTCTTTGATGCAAGGCATTGATTCCATTCTTTCCAGACCATTTTCCTGGCATTTATTCTCTAATATTCCTATTAGTTGTGCATACATTAACTCCAACAGTTATGTGGACCTGCTGTCAGACTCCTGACTCTGTGTAAGCACCCACTGAATCAGCTTAAGGGGAAACTGGGAGGGCAGAGGGATCATTATTAGTAGCAGCAGCAGACTGCACAACACATCATACCACACATACAGTTTTGAAAATCTTTTCCAATTAGCTGAGAGAGAAAAAAGATGAATGTTTGATCATATACTCTGAGTACACACTTCATGAATGTAATTGTATGCCAGTTTCTAGAAGAAAAATATTAAGAGGTACACACATAATGTTGATTACAGTGAACCAGATCAGACTGATGCTAACTTTGATTAGTCAGCATTCTTGCATTCTTGACATAGCTGTGCACTGGTTTTAACAGAAATTCACTATTTCAAGAATTCAACACACAGATGTATATGAATATCACCCAGCCCCTGTCATATATTCAGTGGGCCAGTTTTTGGAGTTTTATTTCAAAAATAGTGTGTCTATTTTCTTGCCCAGGAGAGAAGTGAGCATGGCCATTAAATACAAGAAATTAATAATGGGTGACTTGGTTTCACATTTACTTGCATGTAGGAACATGAGAATGTTCTACATGCAAGTAAATGTGAAAAATATAGTGGTGATTCCAAAGCTCCAGAGAAAAACAAATTATAACACTCAGAGATATGTAGAGGCAAGAGATGGCAAAACACAGTTATTCAGGTAAAGCAGTAGTGAATCAGTTTATATTGTAAAGGTATATTTTTTTTTAAAAATAATGTAATACTTGGGAAAGGTGCCAAAATGACAGCCCTAGAGAAGGCCTCTGGTTATCCAAAAAATGGGCACCAGCAAAGCTTCAAGCTTGTTTCTGAGGAGCCAGTTCTAGGATGAGACGGTAGTTTCATCTCTATGTCCAGCTGATTCTTGGTTTTCCTGGTGGTTTAAACAACAGGAGTGCCAATTAATGCCAATTGTGATTATGGCTGCCACCTATTATTTTGGTTTGCCAACAAAAGAGTGAGACTGATTTCCCTGCATATGGGCTTTGTATTTCTCAAAAAATGCAACACCTAGCAAAGTGTTTTTTATTTGGTGGGGGGGATGGTTGGATATAACCTTAGAATGAGTCCGTGTATAAAAGAACACTAAACTATACAATGCCATTGTTTCAAACTCTCATGGAAATACCCCAGATTCCTTATTAAATGCACCTGTAATGCAGTAACAGTTCTTTTCTCACTATCATGACATTTAATATAGCTACAGCATGAGAAAAATGTGATCAAGGCTTCAAAATATTGTATTTTCATTACTTTCTTAATAAAATGCTTATACCTTTTTGATGTAACTGGTGGAGTTTTCACATTCTGAGCTTTTACAGGGCTCTGCAAATGCCAGTGCAAAAGGGAAAACTGCAAATTAACAGAGAAATAGTGCTATTTAATATTTTAATTTGAATGTTTTATGTCAACATGGGGGGTCTAAAAAGTTTGGTCTCTTTGCAAATTCTGAAAGATTATAGGGTTGTTAGAAAGTGGGAGTGGAGAGAGGTGTAATTTAAAAAAAAACTGTGTTTTGTCATTTTTACCCTCCCTCTAGTTGCTTGATAATGGTCAGCAAGTTTGGAATCCAAGAACAGATGCCATGATTAGTTTTAACACATAAAGCAATCAGGCCAGGTCTATACTGGTGGAGAAAATTGATGCAAAATACACAACTCCAGCTTCATGAATTGCATGGCTGGAGTCAACGTACCTTGAATCAATATTCTGCAGTGGCCCCGCAGATGGAGGTCGACAGGAGAAATGCTTTAATCAGCTTTCCTTACTCCTTGCAACACTGAGGAGTACCAGAACCAAGGGGGGGCACCCTTAGCATTTGATTTAGCAGATCTTTCTGCTAAATCGAACCCCAGAAGATTGATCACCAGAGCACTGATCCTCTGGCAAGTGGAGATGTGGTCTAGGGAGACTCTCTGTACAGATGTTAACATAGGCAGTTATTCTGAGATGGTAGTTTGTGTTTTAAAATGATTTAGGATGAAAAAAAATAGTTTGCCAGGGAAACTGTTATGATTTTGATCTAAAATTAACTGACTGCAGGCCTGAAGAAAGAATTCCTCCTTCCCATCTCCCCCCTACCTGCATGATGAAGCTTTGCATAAATAACTGCAAGCAAAAATGTTTTCACTTTTTTTTTGCACTATTATTCCCCAATGCAGGATACCAGACTGCCAGGTATGGAAATTCTTGAAGCAATTTAAACCTATCATTTTAGAATCCCTCACTTAACTTACAGAAAGCAAAGAAAGTGACAGCAAATCTGAATTCCTTATCTCTACTGCCATCACAACTGTAGAGCACCTAGGTGTACATAGACAATCATATAATCTATTTGAAATTGCAGATATGGGCTTTTTGGATTTGTCCATTAATAAATCTTCTCAAGCGCTTTAACCCCTCAAGTTGCACATCTAAAATCTGGGATTCTCTGGTCCAGCAATGCCTGTGATTCGGCCTGACCACAAATGTTCCAGGATCACTGTGTCCTGGCATGCGGTCCAGTTGGACTGTGAGGTTGGACAGGGAGCTGGAGCACTGCTCGTCTGGGCTGCATGGAGAGGGGAGGGTTAGGGAGCCAGTGTATGGCTCAGCTGGACTGTGGGGAGGGAGGACAAGAAACCCAATGGCGGGAGCAGCAGGCCGGGGGGTGAGAGCAGGGGGCCTGAAATGATCTCCCTTGGTTCGGAAAAATCCCTCATCCGGGACCAGTCAGGTCCTGAGGGTACCAGACCAGGGAGGTCCAACCTGTATTTAACAAAGAATCACTCAAAATCTCTATTTCATTTGAAACTGGTATTTGAATATTCACGAGCAATCTCACATACACACAAAATGAACACATTTTTAAAAATGAACCATCCATATGTTGATTGATTGGTTGCAGCCCAGAAACGAAAATGAACTTATTTGTCTCTGATGTTGATGCTTGAGATTATAGGGGAAAGGGAAAACAGAGGTCTTCTGTTTTTTTACTCCATTATAAAATAAATACAATTATTGTAGGTGAGTAATTCAAGTAGAGGTTTTTAAATGTTGATATATATTTCCCTGGAATTAATATTAATTCAATATTAAAGAGTTTTCTGGATCCAACTTATTTTGGATATCCAGCATCTGTGAGTTTGGGTGACTTCTTTTTATGCTTAACATTTTTTATATTTTTTGTACACAAAATTACTGAACATTAAGCTTCTATGACATTGTTTCTTAAACTGTTCCATGACACACCGGTATGCCTCGAGGCAGTTGGAGGTGTGCCACAGAGAAAAACAGAGTTCAAAATGGCCACCTTTAAAAGAGCAGGTGATCTTTTTTTTTTTTTTTTTTTTTTTCCCCCCCCCCCCCCACCACAAAAAAATCCTTCGTGTTCCTCATAAAAAAAATTATTTATTGGTGTTCCTCTGTCTTAAAAAGTTTAAGAAACACTGTCCTATGATCTTAGTTCACGGGTGTAAAAGCTTGATCCTTATAAACTGGAATTAATTGTCTAAACCTAAAATTAATCTCAGATATTTCTGGAGAACCTATTGCCATTGCATTCAGCTAAAACTCAAACTAGTCTCTAGACAGAGACTGAAATTAAAAATATTTATGGCCTTTTAATATTAGTGTTTTCTGAAATCACAGAAGAATCTTGCCATTCGTTTCAATGGGAGCAGAATCAGAATAAAAAGAACTAGCAGTTAAGTTGTGAAAATGTTTAAAACCAAGGCAAACAAGATACTTCTCACAGCATATGGTCTATAGTTTTGACTTGGGAACACAGAGTATGTCTACACTTGCACCCTCTTTTGAGATAGGGATATAAATGAAGACATTCGAAATTGCAAATGAAGCCGGGATTTAAATATCCCGTGCTTCATTTGCATATTCGCATTATGGCACTATTTTGAAATAAATGACGCTGTTAAGACACGGTTATTTTGAGAGAAAACCCTTCTCTCAAAATAACCCTTATTCCTCATACAATGAGGTTTACCAGTTATTTCAAGAGAAGGGTTTTCTCTCAAAATAACCGTGTCTTAACAGCGTCTGTTATTTCGAAATAGCGCCATAATGCGAATATGCAAATGAAGCACAGGATATTTAAATCCTGGCTTTATCTGCAATTTCGAATGTCTTCATTTCCATTCCTCTCTCAAGAGGGTGCAAGTGTAGAAATGCCCACAGCTACAAAAGCTAATTTTATTACAAATATAATTATATTGTTCATTTTCTTGGCTACATATAAACCATGCAACATATTCTCATGTCATTTGAAAGTAACAGAATATTTAGTTGTTAGAAAAATATATACCTTACCCACAAACTGAAATGTAAGTTTGTGTGTTAGCATCGCCATTGTATCTGTAGCTGCATGGCATTGTGTATTCCACTGCCGGATCTCACACTGAAGATCACGGATTAAGTTCTCCATATTTTCTAATAGTTGTTTTTCAAATGAAGCAACTGCATTGGTTTCACAGGTTTCTGTTTTGAATTCAGATGACAGATGTATACTTTTCCCTGGCTTATGATAGACTACAAAAATGAAAATAAAAATTAAAATGATCTCTCAATTATATACACTTCCTGTTTTATCTGATCTATATTTCTCCATCTAATTAACTTGTACCCATGCATTAAGATTCCAGTATTGTCATTCTAGGTACGTCTACACAGGGGCACTATTTCGGGATAACATTAATTATCCTCAAATAGGGTTCTACATGTCTCAGGAGCACACCTATTATTTCAAAGTATATTTGAAATAATGGGGTTCTTATTCCAACTTTCTATAAACCTTGTTGCACAAGGATTAAGAAAGACACTGGAATAGCGATTTATTTCAAAATTAGTTCTGTGTAGACAGCACCAAATTTCAGAATAAGCTATTTTGAAATAAGCTACTCAATTTGCGTAGCTCAAATTGCGTAGCTTACTTTGAGATATGAGATACTGTGTAGACGTACCCTCTGTGTACCACTCTGAAGCCCAGAATATCTGTTGTCACTGTCAAATGACAGAAACAGCTACAAATATGGGTGAGAGCTCTTTTTATTCAAAATATCACAAGGTTCAATTATTTGAGGATTTGTGCTCTGTTACTACCCAACTGTTAAATTCTCAGCCATACTGACTTTATGAAATATATCCCTGTGACAGCAAAGCAGGTATCTCTGCCTTGACAAAAGTCCTAGATCAGCGTTTCCCAAACTATGGACCATGGCCCAGTACCGGGCCGCAGGAAAAAAATACCGGACCTCAGCGTGTTGCTGGGGTGTTCCGGGCTCCTGGAGTGCCTGTGTGGTGCTGGGTCCCCCAAGCTCTGTGTGGGCGAAGTCTGCAGCTGGATGTTCCGGCTCCCGGCAAAGGCGTAGCTAGGAGAGATCGGGGGGGGGAAGGGAAGAGTAGGAGGGGAGAGCCAGCCACCGGAAGCAGCACTGGACAGAGGAATCGGGGCGGGCTGGGGAGATTGGGGGGGAGGCAGGCAGCAGAAGCAGAGCTGGCTGGG